TGGCCCTCAACTTCCAGACACCAGGTCAGATGATGGACGTGTACGAGGGGAGGTTCCGTGCCAATGGTGGTTGTGGGTACCTGCTGAAGCCAGCCGTCATGCGAGAGCACATCTCCGTGTTCTCGGCTCACTCTAGGGACACCATCCCTGGCGTCGCACCCCAGCTACTCAAGATCAAGGTGAGGCAGCCTCACGTCTCCCTAATAATAATTCTTTATATTTTTTCCCAACAAAACTTTGTTTATGGAAAATTTGTTTCTGGGTTGAACTCATTTACCACAAATTATATTTAAGTAATTCACAAGTGTCGTTCGTTGTACGGACCTGTGGAACTGAATGTTTTCCACGGTGGAAGAAGTTAACGTGGAGGAATGGAGAGATAGGAGAGATGAAATAAAGTCAAGGGAAGAGAGGTGCAGAGGGATCAACTTTAGACAAAGTTTGTTTGTGAGCTTGTTAGAGTGCTCTGTTAGAGAGTGCAACGTTTAAAATTGCACTCTCAGGAAGTATGCTGTTAAAAAGTTTACTCTTAGAGAGTAGGCTGTTAAAAAGCGCACTGTTTGAGAGTGCAATGTTAAAAAGCGCACTGTTTGAGAGTGCAATGTTAAAAAGCGCACTGTTTGAGAGTGCAATGTTAAAAAGCGCACTGTTTGAGAGTGCAATGTTAAAAAGCGCACTGTTTGAGAGTGCAATGTTAAAAAGCGCACTGTTTCAGAGTGCAATGTTAAAAAGCGCACTGTTTCAGAGTGCAATGTTAAAAAGCGCACTGTTACAGAGTACGCTGTTACTGAGAGTACTGTCACATAAGAGTTTAGTACAAAAAAATACCCTGGAATTGCAACGACATTAAAATACCGATAAGGTGGACTGAAGATACCTAGATGCAGTGGATACTTATATTAACCACAGTGTTTCGCCCACACAGTCGAAACATAGAGTAACGGAAACGTTTTTCCCATTCGTGATGAAAGGCATTTGTTAATCAAGATATCCAGGCCATTTAAAGGGCATTTGCTCGTAAAAGCTTTAGTTAATCTAGAGTTTCGTTACAGCAATAATTGTTAAATGACTTTCATTGTCAATATCCATAGGAATTTATGTATTAGGTGTAATAAAGAATCATATTTTTAATGTATTCCTTGCCCAAATATTCTCAGTGTTTTTATATCGTAGTTCACCAGTTAACTGAGTTTAAAGCCTATCGACATAACGAGGATCATGTCACCTGTTCAAATAAATAAATATATATATATATATATATATATATATATATATATATATATATATATATATTATATATATATATATATATATATATTATATATGTATGTATATATATATATATATATATATATATATATATATATATATATATATATATAATATATATATATATATATATATATATATATATATATATATATATATATATATATATATATATATTATATATATATGTATGTATAATATATATATATATATATATATATATATATAATATATATATATATATATATATATAATATATATATATATATATATATATTATATATATATATATGTATGTATATATATATATTATATATATATATATATATATATATATATATATATATATATAATATATATATTATATATATATATATATATATATATATATATATATATATATATATATATAAAATATATATATATATATATATATATATATATATATATATACATATGCAATAACATCACAGTAAACAGGTGTTATCAGAATATGCAAAACAACCACTGTGAAAGAATATTGAAATTCCCAGCGCTTTCATGACTTCTCACATTATCAAGGAACTATAAAAACAAAACATCAAAGGAAGACATATAAATAGTCAAGACAACACCTCACCATCACATCCCACAACAAAGCAACACCTCACACGCGCATGACGACACCCGACTCTGTGAAACCCACCTAATACTCTGCCCAAGAATTAAGATTTGTTCTTGGGTAGAGTATTAGGTGGGTTTCACAGAGTTGGGTGCCGTCACGCATGTATGAAGTATTGCTTTGTTGTGGGATGTGATGGTGAGGTGTAGTCTTAACTATTTATATGTCTTCCTTTGATGTTTTGCTTTTATAGTTCCTTGATAATGTGAGAAGTCACGAAAGCGCTCGGAATTTCACTATTCTTCCACAGTGGTTGTTTTGCATGTATATATATATACTATATTATATATATATATATATATATATATATATATATATATATATATATATATATATATATATATATATATATATTTAACAAGTCGGCCGTCTCCCACCGAGGCAGGGTGACCCAAAAAGAAAGAAAATCTCCAAGAAAGAAAATACATATACATATATATATATATATATATATATATATATATATATATATATATATATATATATATATATACATATATATATATATATGTATATATATATATATATATATATATATATATATATATATATATATTATATATATATATATATATATATATATATATATATATATATATATATTTAACAAGTCGGGCCGTCTCCCACCGAGGCAGGGTGACCCAAAAAGAAAGAAAATCTCCAAGAAAGAAAATACATTCACCATCATTCATCACTTTCACCTCACTCAAGCATAATCACTGTCTTTGCAGAGGTGCTCAGATACGACAGTTTAGAAGCATATATTAAGATATTTAACATATCCTTCTAAACTGCCAATATCCCAAACCTCTTCTTTAAAGTGCAGACATTGTACTTCCCATTTCCAGGAGTCAAGTCCGGCTATATAAAAATAGCCGGTTTCCCTGAATCCCTTCACTAAATATTACCCTGCACACACTCCAACAGCTCGTCAGGTCCCAAAAGCCATTCGTCTCCAATCACTTTTGTCAAACACGCTCACACATGCTTGCTGGAAATCCAAGCCCCTCGCCCACAAAACCTCCTTTACCCCCTCCCTCCAACCTTTTCTAGGACAACCCCTACCCCGCCTTCCTCCCCCTACAGATTTATATGCTCTCCAAGTTATTCTACTTTGATCCAGTCTCTCTAAATGACCAAACCACCTCTACAACCCCTCTTCAGCCCTCTGACTAATACTTTTATTAACTCTACACCTTCTCCTAATTTACACATTCCGAATTCTCTGCATAATATTTACACGACACATTGCCATTAGACAGGACATATATACTGCCTTCAGCTGCCTCCTCGCTGCAGCATTTGCAACCCAAGCTTCACACCCATATAAGTGTGTTGGTACCACTATACTTCCGTACATTTTCTTCTTTGCCTCCATGGATAACGTTCTTTGTGTCCATATATACCTCAACGCACCGCTCACCTTTTTTCCCTCATCAATTCTATGATTAACCTCATCCTTCATAAACCCATCCGCTGGCACGTCAGCTCCCAAATATCTGAAAACATTCACTTCTTCCATATTCCCTCTCTCCAATATGATACCCAATTTTTCTTTATCTAAATCATTTGGTACCCTCATCGTCGTACTTTTATCTATGTTCACTTTCAACTTTCTACCTTTATACACATTCCCAAACTCATCCACTAACCTTTGCAACTTTACTTTAGAATCTCCCTTAAACACAGTATCATCGGCAAAAAGTAACTGTGTCAACTCCCACTTTGTATTTGATTCCCCATAATTTAATATATATACTATCCACTTCTCCGAGGCTATGGGTACCACAATTTACACCAGAGGTGGACCCCATCCTATATATATATATATATATATATATATATATATATATATATATATATATATATATATATATATATATATATATATATATATATATATATATATATATATATACATGTTCAATGCGTTAATCGTAGCTGGAAAACGTTATTGACATTTTCAAAACTAAGACTAGAAAATATTTACTACAAAATCATTCTGTACTCACCTATTTGTGGTTGCAGGGGTCGAGTCATAGATCCTGGCCCCGCCTCTTTACTGATTGCTACTAGGTCCTCTCTCTCCCTGCTCCATGAGCTCTATCATACCTCGTCTTAAAACTATGTATGGTTCCCCCCTCCACTACGTCACTTTCTAGGCTATTCCACGGCCTGACTACTCTATGACTGAAGAAATACTTCCTAACATCCCTTTAATTCATCTGAGTCTTCAACTTCCAATTGTGACCTCTTGTGTCTGTGTCCCATCTCTGGAACATCCCGTCTTTGTCCACCTCGTCTATTCCGCGCAGTATTTTATATGTCGTTATCATGTCTCCCCTGACCCTCCTGGCCTCCAGTGTCGTCAGGCCGATTTCCCTCAACCTTTCTTCGTAGGACAATCCCCGTAGCTCTGGGACTAGTCTTGTTGCAAACCTTTGCACTTTCTCTAATTTCTTGACGTGCTTGACTAGGTGTGGATTCCAAACTGGTGCTGCATACTCCAGTATGGGCCTGACGTAGATGGTGTACAGAGTCTTAAACGAATCCTTACTGAGATATCGGAACGCTATCCGTAGGTTTGCCAGGCGCCCGTATGCTGCAGCAGTTATCTGATTGATGTGCGCCTCAGGAGATATGCTCGGTGTTATACTCACCCCCAGATCTTTTTCCTTGAGTGAGGTTTGCAGACTTTGGTCATCTAAACTATATTGTGTCTGCGGTCTTCTTTGCCCTTCCCCAATCTTCATGACTTTGCATTTCGCGGGGTTAAACTCAAGGAGCCAGTTTCTGGACCAGGCTTGTAGCCTGTCCAGGTCTCTTTGTAGTCCTGCCTGCTTCTCATCCGATTTGATTCTTCTCATTAACTTCACATCGTCCGCAAACAAGGACACTTCTGAGTCTATCCCTTCCGTTGTGTCATTCACATATACCAAGAACAGCACAGGTCCTAGGACTGACCCCTGTGGAACCCCGCTTGTCACAGGCGCCCAGTTTGACACCTCGTCACGTACCATGACTCGTTGTTACCTCCCTGTAAGGTATTCTCTTATCCATTGCAGTGCCTTTCCTGTTATGTGTGCCTGATCCTCTAGCTTTTGCAGTAACCTCTTGTGAGGAACTGTGTCGAAGGCCTTCTTGCAGTCCAAAAAAATGCAGTGGATCCACCCCTCTCTCTCTTGTCTTACTTCTGTCACCTTGTCATAAAACTCTAATAGGTTTGTGACACAGGATTTTCCCTCCCTG